AGAATGCCAGGCACACACACACAAAGACCAGAATATGGTAAAAAAGGTACACCAGTCCAAAAAGCTGCTGATAGAGAAAGATCAGGAGACCAACCTGTATCCGTGCTTCAAACATTTGTAGAAAACCAAAGGAACCGCAGTAGTTTACAGAGTTTATTGCATTATACATGCAAACAGAACATGCACAAGAAGGACAATTTGCTGCTGAACGACTACTATTCCACATATGCACCACAAGGAAATGTCTACAATGGAGAAGAAGGAAATATTCCATTTTACGAAGGACAATCTCTAAGTTCATTTGAGAGGATAGTTACATTATAATGTGCTTCTCTTTCCCCCCGCCCCCACAGTTTCCCCCCACTCTTTTTCTGAAAGTATTGAATGTACTCAAAATGTTATGGCCCGTGTAACAGCCCCACATAAATACCATTTTGTTAGTAAAAACATGAAAAAGTCACATTGCTTGGATGTTCGACAGTTCCAATAAGTTAAGACCAAATGATAATATTCAATAATAGTTACCCTGCATTACGATGAGAACAAAAATAAATTACACGTGCTAGGTTTTATATATACTCATCATAGTAATACATATTCACTTGCAGCGCTAAAAGAAGGACGAAGAGTCACATTCTATCAGAAAAACAAAACAAAACAAAACAAAACTGGAAAATGCCGGGTTTTGCCAGAGTCTCTCCTGCCTTTATCAAGTGGTGGTGCTGTGCCCATTCCTCACTGGTGCCCCCCCCCGGGGTTAGGGTTTAAGAGAAGGTCAGATTAGCGGTCAGTTCCCGGATTCGGTTCTCCCTGCTCATCTTCTTGAGCTTCATTCTGCGGTTTTGAAACCAAATCTTGACCTGCCTGTCAGTGAGGTTTACGCTCTTACTGATCTCTAGACGGCGCTCTCGAGTGAGATACATATTGAATAAGAACTCTTTCTCTAATTCCAGTGTTTGGTGTTTAGTATAAGGACACCTCTTCTTTCTGCCACTCTTTGCAGTTAACCAATTGCTTGTTGGAGTATCAGACTTGATTTCCTCTATCAAAATCAAAGAAGAAGAAAAAAAAAATCAAAAATACCTCAGACTGTTAGAGTGTACCCTTGGCCATGACCCCTCCTCTGCAGTGTCTGGCAGATATGGTGGATGTGGGCATTAAACACCGCCCGGCTGAGATGTGGGCTCAGCGAGGGGACCTGCTGCCAGGCTGGGCTCGCTGTCCCCAGCGCGGCACCCTGCCCTGCGGCCACCCCGCTCTCCTGCTCCTGCCAGGAAGGGTCTCTCAAGCTTTGGGCCGGCGTTTAACATTTCAACAATATTTAACCTGCCATCCGCCCCATGGACACATCTTAACGGGTCTAGCCTCGCCATGGCCGACTCGGGCTCCCACGACAATTGCCACGGAAATATTCCAATTACAAAATAGCCTCGCACTGTATTTTGAAGCAGCATCCCCACACACATCAGCTGAATCACGCAAGCACACCTATAAACAGATATAGACATTTCCCAGACAAAATTATATACAAGAAATTACGACCCTTGTCTTGGTTTGTTTTTTTTTTTCTTTTTCCTTTTGGGTTTTCTTTTCCCCACCAGAAAGAAATCTTCCCCCACATGAAGCTAGACCTGGATTACTAAACATAATCAAGAAAAAGAAATTCTCAATGAACACAGAGGGTAAAAATTGACCTAGAGGTTGCAAAGTACGTTTTGATAGCATAAAATTTTTCGGTTTGGAATTCTTCGATACACGCCGGTCTAAAAAAAGGCGTTAGTGCACTTTAAAAGGGAAAATAAAATCAGAGTGCCACCACTTTCAGGTTTCAAAAGCATTTCAAAATACTGGTGCACTTTTGGAGACCAACCCAAGGTTATCTAAAACACCACATTGAAATATTCCCCCCTTGGACCAGGCAGATAGCGGGCTGCTGCTTTCATTGTGCATTTCTTTCCAACTTTACCCAGTCTGGTAGCACCTATTGCTCACCTATTTTAAGAGGATCGTAATTAACTTTAAATGCAATCAAACCTCAGTAAGGCTCAGTGGAAAAAAAAAAAAAAAAAAAAAAAAACCAAAAAACAAAAAAAAAAAAAAAAAAAAAAAAAAGGCGAAATACTACGAGAGAAAAGTTGAGCTGCTCGTATTTTACAACCTCCAGACCCGCTTTTTTTAGAGGTATGGGGCTGCTTTTGGCTGCTGCAGCGCATTACGGAGCACACGGCTATATTCCCCGCATCACAGAGGCTGTCTGCGTGCACGGGAGAGGCAGATCTCTACAGAAAATCTTTGGACCGTTTTGTGTGGCATTTTTGCCTGCCAAAATCTTCAGAGAGACAGCACCTGCAGCCCGATACTCCTTAGCATTAAATGTGATGGCTGTGATGCTCGTTAGTATATTCGAGCGTGCTTTATGGTGCTGGCGTGTTGGAGTTACACCACGGCACGGCTTAAACTCGGTAATACAGACCTTTACTCTCCTTCTCCTGGACTTCTGGGCTGGACACGGAGCCTTCGGGCAGACAGCTCCGCTCCTCTTGCAACGTGGACTTGGGCTCGGGACTTTCCACTTGAGAGACTTTAGCGGTGCTGTCTTGGTTGTTCGGGTTTTCATTCATTTTCTTTTCCAGCTGAAGTTGAGCAGATATCTGCGGTTTGGAGCTGCCGCGAGGGTTTAACTGTAACATTACAGTTGAACTCGTTTCAGGGCTATTATTGTACTCTTGGGTTTTCCCAGTGGCGTAGGTCTGGCTCAGTCTAAAATATCCTGGGACGGGAACCTCGGGGTTCTCAATGGGGCATGATTCAGACACCAGCCTCTGGTAGGAAGGGACGTCTGCAGAAATGAGTTTGGATCTCTTATCGGAATACATGCAGCAATTGCTTTCTTCTTTAATATTTGTAGTGAAGGAACAAGTGGGGACCTGCTGTGTAACAGGTTGCTCTATTCGACAAGATCTGTTCGGGTCTGTCCAAGTGTCTACTTGAGGTATATAAGGATGTACATTCATACCCATATTTTGGTGATTAACTTCTCTCTTAGCCAGAGACGGAAGGAGTCCACAGGTTTGCATCCCATACGTCCCAATGTCTGTGCTAGGTGGCATATACATGCTGGCGCTGTTGGAGTAGAAACTGTCACTCCTGCACGCACTGATGAGAGAATCTACTAAAAAAGTATTAGCGGCAGGAGAGCTGTTGGGAAAGGACATTTTGGGGCGGAATTTGAGGAAGAGAGATTGTGTCCTTTGTAGGCTGACATCTCTAGGAAAACATTCCCGTGTAATTGCGGATGCCTCCGCGCGACCACATGACAGGCGGGCCAATGGCAGCGCCCGCCGCCCCGCGCGCCGCCGCCCCGCCGCTGACGCGCCCCGCCGCGCCGCCCCGCCGCGCCCCGCCGCGGTCAACAGCGCCCCCTGCGCCGCCGCGCCGGCACCGCACCGCGCCCGCGCCCGCGCTGCGGCACCGGCCGCGCCGCGCCCCCCCGCGCCGCTCCGCGCCCGCGGAACCCCCGGCGCAGCGCCGCGCCTGCCCGCCGCGGCTCCTGTAAAAGCCCCGCCGCTGACAAGTGCGGGGACAAAAGGTTGCGGGATTTATTAATGCGTATTAAGGAGAATCAGGGGCGATCAATAAAACCCTCATCTACATTCTCGGGCTACTCGGTAATTTTCTTGCTTCTGAAGCTTTTTCAAGAGTTATACCCTCTGTTGCCGCGCACGGGAAGATATTTTATTAACAAATCAATCGAGACTTTGTAAAGGATAAGATTAATAGTTAAGATTTAGCATAATGGCGTTCGCGTTATGAATTATTGAAAATTATACTATTGATTTTTTTCCTAGCTGCTAACCGAGAAGGTCAATTTTTGTTTTAACACAAATCGTCAAATATTAAAAGGTGGACTTTTGTCATAACTCGAATTTTATGGGGAAGCCACATTCCTAAAATTATTTTACAATGCTCTC